TGTGCTGCACCATGGCCGAACGTCAACCTGGGAAGCGGGGAAAAAGGATGTGCAAGGAGTGGAAGTTTATATTAGATATTTTCTGTAACTGCAGGGGAATACGGTTACAGTATTTCAAAGTCAAAAGTCAACCTAATGTCAATCTTACTCAGCTTACAGACAGAGATCGAAATGACGTTTCCAACAATCCCGAATGTAAAATTATACAGTAGACAGATATGAATATCCTATATACACAATCAACAGACACAATATAAGTTTGCAATATAATTATGTTATACCATGAGATTAATTCAGTTACTCCCCAGCCCTGAGAGTACCTCCTTACCAGGGTTCATACACTTTTTCACCAATGATTTTCAATGACTTTTCCATGACTTCATGACCTTTACCTAATTTTCTATGACAAAACAAATTACTCTTTCTCAGCGGTACCACTGAAAATGGTTTATTTTAACATGGAACAGGAAAATAAGGTCTGCATATGAAACATGTTGTGCCCATCTAAAATAAATCAAATAGGCTGACTAGCTTCTACACGCTAAAGCAACTCAAATCTCTCACCAGCAAAACACCTCGTCAGTTAAATGCCATTTTACGTTTCATTACTATACGATACAGTATTTATTATCATTATAGTATTACTATTTCGGCGATTAGATAAAATATAAATTATATTTGATGCAACTTTAGTTACATTTCCATGATTTTTCCAAAACTTTGGGAAAAATGTTGTTTTCCATAACTTTTCCAGGTTTTTAATGACCGTAAGAACCCTGCCTTAGACATATGATAATCTACAATCATATCAGGGGGGTTATCATCCAACCATCTTGGTAATATTGTGAGGTGTGTAGGAAATAAAGCGTACCTGTGTTTGCGTTCATAAACACAGTTTAGTCCAATAAACACAATGATATGGATTTAGAGTTATGTCTATGTGAAATACTTTCACCCTAAAATAATCTGTCTTTTCCTTTAGCCCTATATCTATTATCCCTACTCTTTCCTTTCCTATATACATTATCTGTGACTTTTCTATTTTCACCCTAGCTCCTGATGCCCTACCATACAAACTATCCAACACTTCGCTAACACTTTCTCTGTCTTTAACTGGAATGGTGGTATCGTCTGCATACTGATAAACTAAACCAACCCTCCCCCCTGGTACCTCTACTCCTCTGATGTTGCTGTTTTGCCGCTAGGGGCTCTGCTGACAGCGCATACAACATGGCCGAGTGAGGGCATGTTGTTCAAACTCTCTTTGAATTGACCAACTTTATTATCTTCTTACTTTGGACCCTGAGAGCCAAAGATGGCGTCAAAGTCCTCACTGATCTCGATCCTGGTGGGCATGCGTGGGAGTTCGGCGACGCGTCTGTAGAACTTGGAGAAGATCTCGTCATCCAGCTTCATCACTTCCTTCACTGCCATCTCTGTGACTGTGATGGTGGTTTCCTGCAGTCCGGCCACTGATCGAAGAGAAACACAGAAGAAACTATTTTAGGCTTTAAAAGAAAAACCAAACAAGAGTAGAATTTGACAAAATAGCAGGAATGCATGCTCTTGAAAAACCTACAAGTTAAAAATAAATTATATTTTTTTCAAGAGGACAAAAAACATTGCTTTATAGACTTCAGGTAATGCAAGTTTATTTGTTTATTTATAAAGCACATTTTCACACAGGGAGTGCTTTACAAAAAAACATTATAAGCATTAAAATAGATTGCAACATTTAAAAACAGACCTTAAAAGGTAGGGTAGGTAAGAATTGAGAAACCAGCTCGAGTGCGCTGGAATTTGAAAATACACAGCCGGAAACAATCTGCCCCTTCCTTACAGAGCCCCTCCTCCAACACACACAACATGACCAATGAGGGCACGAGATAAGTTTGTGCACAGATGGAAGGCTGACAGGCAGGTAGGCCATCCAGTTACTTTAGCCGGGCCGGCTCAGATGATTGGTCGTGCTTTTTACAGCGCCACGGCTTCCACAGATGATATTTTTTTATGTATTTATTGTCAAAGCATTTAATGTATTCATTGCTTTCGGGATGTTAAGAGCATTCCATGGAATATAACAAAAAGTGTTTCTGAAGTGAATTACCAACCCCACCTTTAAAGAGCCGAGATAATACCAATAAAACAAGCTAAATAGAGTAGGACAGGTATAAAATACAAGAATAAGAGTTACAGTGCGGTGCTTAATAGCAAGAAGTGCATACCTTTGCTATTCAGACGTCCCAAGAAGCTCTCCAACTTGTCAAGTTTCTTATCCGTTTCCATGTCCGGTCTGGCCTCAATTTCTATAATTAAAATAAATCAATCTTACTTATGGTGCATACAAGATCTGTTTATTTTAAACTAACAAAAACATTTACATCATTTTGTCTTTTTCAACCTGTTTTCAAGTTATTTGTTGAATGTTTTTAACACATCATATAGATCTTATCGTATAAGCTTAAAAGTCAAGTCAAGTAAGAGTAAAGTCCACTCCCGTCGCTAAAACATCAATGAAAATGAAGTTCATTCAGGTTTAAATCACAGCCGTTGATAAACTGGGATTTCTTTAGCAGAGGTTTCATGAATGACGAAGGACTTGGACATCCGTCTCACCCTCTTGTGGTTTGTTGACAGCCGGCACGCTGCTCTTGAGTATGGGTGGAGACCGGTGACAGGATGGGACTGATAACTGAGGAGGAGGCTGCCAGGCCTGGCGGACACGACGGACACACCAGATATATATTATTATACAATATACTAATTTAATAAGAAAAGATACCAGTAAATGTATCTTTTTTTGTTTAAAAAATAAAGAAATCATAATTCTTTTGTCAAATAAAAAGGAGAGTATTTCAGAATCAGAATATCTTTATTAGTCCCAAAGAGGGGACATTTACGTTGTCACAGCAGAAAAGAGCCAAAGACAGCTTAATGTTACGTAGAAGCATGCTTAAAAAAGTATTAAAGTAAAAACGTTATAATATAATTTGTACTTCAAAATACACATCCTGTAACAGTTCTGAGGATTTAGCAGCCAGGTAAATATATTGCACAGTTATTAACGGCATATATATATATACAGTATATTGCACATATTGCACATAGTTGGTTGGTATTTAACAGCAAGGGGTGCTGTATATATATATATGCCGTTAATAACTGTGCAATATATTTACCTGGCTNGTGCAGTTAATATAAGATTATTTTCTTCTCCCTGCTCCTTTCCGGGTAAGGTGTGTTTATAGAGACATGTTTTGCTAATAATTGTTATACATTAAGTTGTGCATACTATGAATGGAACAAATAAAAATGAAATGAAAATGAAATTGTATTATTAGAAATTCATTTATTATTGTGATTTGTATATAACATAACAACTTCCCAGTCCCTAAAATAACCCATTGACATCCCCCCTGTCTCCCCCCAGCATCAAGGCCTCCTCCCAGCCCAGCTCAGCGGTCCAGGATCAGGGTCCGGAGCCCAAAGTGCCCCAGGAGCCCCAGAAACCAGCTCCAGCTCCCGGTGCCGGGGGGGAGGGCGATGGCCACGCGTTTTTCTCTGACGAGCCGGACCTGTCCACCCTCACCTTGGCAGAGAAAATGGCCCTCTTCAATCGCCTCGCTCATCAAACAGCAAAGAGCCCTGAGGCCCGAGGGGACACCCGGCAGCGCAGGGCCAACGCCCGCTTTCAGACTCAACCCATCACCCAGGGAGAGGTGGAGCAGGTACAAAAAACGTTTTAAATAAGCAATGTTGTTTTTTTGTTGTTGTACATTTTAGTTGCATTTTTATAATTACAGTTTGAATTTGAAGACATTAAGAAAATTATCAAAATCAAGGAAGGTCTTATTTCTGCTAATATATATATTTTTTTTTTACATTTTTGTGAGTTTGAATTATTAACGTTGAAGGACATTAAGAACATTATCAAAATCAAGGAAGGTTTTAACTTCTCCTATATAATATATTTCTTGTGCACTTCTTAACCAAAAGTTATTTATAATTCTGTTTTTGTAAAGTAAAAGGACTCAACGATTAGCTTTTTCCCCTTATTATTATTATTATTATTATTATTATTATTTGTACTATATCCTATCCTATCCCACCATTATACCCCATCCATCTTAATCGCACCCACAAACTCAATTGTGAATGAATAATGAATATGATAAAGTTCTAAAGAGACGTAAAAGTCAGAAAAACATTTTTGAGAAGGCCAAATGTTAGAGGTGCGGACACTAACATAAAAAAATAACCCACTGACAAAATATTGAAATTAACAACGTTGCTTCTTAAGATTATTTGGATGTGAGATCTTCTTACAGTAAAAAGGCCTGGAGCAAAGGGCGATTAATCTCCGGGTCACTTCCAGTACACTGCAGTGTGTGAATTACAGAGTTAAGAGAGTCCTTTAGGGCGGGATGGATGAATGATACTGTTCTCTGTGCAAACTCAGATATGACCAAATAAACAGAGGTCACAGGGTTTGTTCTGCTTTTACTTTTAATACAGTGGCATCTAGATGTCAAAAAAAGTCCAACAGTTCACATGTAAAAGCTCATACTGTGCTTTAATGTATACGAGGGATGTACATTTCTGGATCTAAATCAGAATCAGAAAAATAAGTCAATTCTCATTTTAGTTCAAAAGAATTTAGCACAAGTATTTGTGTGTTGAACTACTGACGCAATATCTACATGCTTCTGTAGGAAACAACATATTCAAAAATCATCTTTTGGAAATTGTGAATGGATTCAGGATCTTAAAAAATGTCAATCTCAATTCTCATATTCATGATTTTGTCCTAACCCATGATATATACAGCATATATATTGTTGTTGATGGTATACTTTGTCATTTACATTGCCAAAACATCATCCAATGTGGCATTAAACAGATAAAACACGCTTCACATTAGGTTGTCTTCACCTGAACCACATTCTCAGTATTCAATCACTGGTGTCCACACAGGTAGCTGATCCTCCAGTCACCTCTGAGGTGTGTAACGGTGACATAAAGACCAATCAGGGACAACATGTAAGACCTCCGATGCCTGTACGATGCTTCTGATTGGTTGCATCTAATGTATCTGCTTTTGATTGACCTCTGGTCCCGCTAGTGACCGATGTTGTCTTGTCTTGCTTACATTCGCTGAGCTGAGCCTGATGGTCCGCTTTAAATGCCATTTTAAAGTGTGTATTTTAAAGTTTGACATTTTAAAAACAGGTGCCTTGTTTGTTTTCCGTGGCTCCTCAATTTTGGATAAGGAAGCTTCTCTGACACGCTTGCTCATTGCAGAGCAAGCATGGGATTATTTGAATGCAATCTGAATGCAATTTCCACTAAAAACATCAATGCTTATCTGGATAAAAAGCATGTAAGGGGTCAATACATAGACATTTTATTGCAACTAAAATAATTGACAGTAATCTGGGGTAGAGCTGGAGCATCTTAAATCGACTTGACGTGAGCTACTTTATGCTGTTACATCAACACTTGTTATTACCTTTCCTGATCTAGACATTCCTGATGCAAGTTATTATGAACCATAGAGTTACAATTCCCACATTTATGGAAAACATGCAAGTTAAAATATTCAAATGTACTGTTTCCATGCCCTCCATGATATAAATATAAAAAAAAGTTGGTTAACAATCAAATAGTAAGACTTAAAAAAGCAAATGTTACCATTCGAATGACACAGCGTTTAAGCTAGTGAATGTCAGATGTAAACTGGAGGGTAAATGCTTTGTGTGTTTTGCTTTTTATGATTCAGCTAGTGTTCAAATCTGTGCTTCCTGCTGCCATTTTGTGAATGACAGAGTTGCTGTACAACTACTCAAAATGTTTCCCTAATTGTTTTTGATTGCTGCTGTCCTCCCTCTCGTCCATCCATCAGTTTCTTTTCTACCTTTTTCATTCCACTTCATCCCCACCTTCTGTAACATCCCCACATACCTGAATACATCTAAAAATGTCCTTATTTACCACCATATCTCTTCTCCATATCAATCCCTTTCCTTAGTCATTCTATCCATCTCATATATCTGATTTGTTTCCTGTTCTTTCTGCAGCTGAAAACCGGAGGTGAGATCAAACTGGAGCCTCTGTCTGCGTCCCTAGTTCGCTCCGTGGCAGCCGTCGCCTCCCAAGCCTCTGTCGCCACAGTAACCGGCAGCGGAGACAACGACGACAACCTCCGTCCAGGGAAGTCCACGGCGGTCCCTTACATCCCTGCCCAACAACAGGCGACCTGCAACACCAGCAGCCACCAGGAGAGGGCGTTGAGGTATTTCTCCATGACCCAGAGCGGGGACCCCGGCCACCCCGAGCCCGATTTCAACGCCTCCCCTCTCCCCCCTGAGAGCCGGCAGAGAGTGGGGGCTCCTCTGGCTCCCACATCCTCTGTCAGTCACAGGGAGGCGCTGGAGGAGGAGGAGGAGGTCAGGGGGAGACAGCAGGGAGGAGGAGCCAGAGAAGACGGCAGCGTTAAGGGAAAGCAGGACACCGGGCAGCATCCCCAGCCTCACTCTTCAGACTCCTCTTTGTGGAGGGCAGAGTCAGAGCCCCTGCCCAGCCGGAGAGCCGCAGACAGAGGACACTCCCAGGAGAGCAGGGAGAGAGCGGAGGGGAGAGGAAGAGGAAGAGGAGGGTACCTGAGAGAGGCAGCTCACAGCTCCTTCACACAGGAGCAGGAGAGGAGCGGCGGCCGGAGCCAGCCAGGCATCTCAGGTAGGAGATAGAAGGAAAAAGAGATGGAGACAGTGGGGGGGTGGAGATTATTAAAGAGATGTGAAAAGCTAAAGCAAGGATGTGTGAAAAAGAGTGGACATAAAGGAACAAGAGAAAGGGAGTGACAGTGTCTAGGGACGGGGGTGTTCTCATTATCCTCATTGTCTCATGCAGCATGCTCCCACGCATCATAGCTTTCTGCCGGCTGCACACACACACTTGTCCCAGCTGGGGGTGTTTGATTTGGCTGATAGAGAGACGTCTGAAGCTGCATCTAATTAGCATATTTGTCCATGCATGTGCCTCGTGGCTGTCTTTGTCTAGAAAGAGGAAGCCCCCTTTTTTTCCTGACGCCAGAGATGGCTTAAATCAAACTGTGTGTGCTCACTGTCATGGCCTATAAAAGGGGCTGTGGTCCCCGATGTGCACCATATTACGCCTGTGGGTTAGCCCTGCACATACTACAGTATGATGGGCCTGACCTGGTTTTATGAGCTGATGCAGAATGGGTCCAGGGGGTGGTCTTTTTTTCCCATGCGTGCACACAAACAGTGCACACAAATTGAAAGCACTCAGTGAGAGAGTGCAGAACAATTGGCCGGCACTTACTTGAAGCAGGTAGAGGACAGGGAGGACACAATGGATGCCTTGTCTGCATGCTGAACTCTTGTTTAGTGCTGCATGGGTAGATCTTCACTAAAGTTGAGTCTATTCATCATTACTATAGTATCATGAGGCTGAAGGAGTTGCATGGACTTATACTAATTCCCTGCAGACATACCACTACACGCCTAACACTGACCCTCACCCTGACCTTAACACAAGTCTATATGAGTACTTCTTTTATGTGTAAAGCAACATCAGACTTGACTTAAACTGCTTTCCTAATTTTGGAAAACGAAATAGATTCACTGAATATTCATTTTTTATTAAAACATCCTGCACAAGCAACTAGTATATAAGTAGTTTAACCTTTGTAAATGCAGCAAGAGGATAATTCCACCATAGAATAAAGCAGTTTAACTTCATAAAATGAGCTTTAAATCACAACTAATTTATCACAAGTATTCATAAATATTATTGGCGAAGCAATCAATATCTGCTATCAGTATGGGAACATGTGCATTCCTCATTGGGAACATCGTTTTTGCTCCTAATAGGCGCTTTCACACCGGAGTACTTTTCCCAGTCTAGTTCCGATAGTTCTTGAAATTTGCGTTCACACCAAAAAAATCTGGAACTAGAACTTAGTTCATGAAAACCTTTTCACCCCATTTTCAGTCCCTGCTAGAGAGCAGGTACTTTCATGGGAGAAAAAGGTTCCCATTTCTGATTGGCTGGACGGAATGCAAACCACGCCCCGTACGACTCGGAAAAGTTTTGTGAAGCCGCCATTGTATTTGCTGGCATTAGCATTATTAGCATTAGCATTAGCCCCGCGCACCAACGGAGAGAGACTAATTTATGGCAACACAAAAAAAAACATGGGAGTGGTGGAGATGAGGAGGTGTCGGCGTTCTGGCGATTTACTCGGAAGGGTCCCCAACTCCGGGGACTTCCGGCCGGGGACTTCGGGTGGCAGTATACGCCGTGAAGTTGTTTGCGGCCTGCCAGTAAACCCAAAGCAGAAGAAGAAGAAGAAGAAGTGACGTCAGCGGCTTAATTTGCCTAATCCTCCCTCAGGGACTTATTCCGGTGTGAACGCGATCTGCTCTTTAGTTCATCAGAACTAAAGAGTTCTGATGAACTAAGTACTGGGAACTAAGTACAGCAAAGTACTTGGTGTGAAAGCGCCTTATGTGTTAAAAGCCCCACAAAATGTTTACTATGCATTCCAGCGCACACATTTGTTTCAGGGATGAGAAACAAATGCTGATAAAACAGGTCATGGTTAACAAAAAAAAATGCAACAAACATTCCCATTTTAATGGCAATACTGTTATTTAGAGATTAAGATAATGGCCATAAACCACAACATCCCAAGGACGTTTGTTGCATCTCTCACAACTTTAATTCCACTTACAATAGTAAATAATATATATCAGATGTTTGAGCATCCGTGCTTGTGCTAACTGACTAACTAAAGGTGACAAATAGTTGTGTGAAACCTTATCGAAGTGAGTTTCATCTTGCTGAAAATAGTATACTGTTATGTACAGTTGTGCACCCACACAGGGCTCTTTACTTTGAATGGTATTCTCATCAGTACTTTGGTTTATGAGTATAAGCATGGGATAACTTGCATGTCAGAGATTGGCCTTCAGTCTATCAATTTTAATACTAAAACCCACCAAATTGTTCCCAATGGCTTGCTAATAAGAGTTTGAATTTAAATAACTTGTGAGGCATCAGAGCCATTAAAAACCTTAGTGGAAAAAAAAACCTGGTTTCCTCATGAGACATCCATTGAATCACTTATTGTCAAATTTAAGAAAGTAAAGAATGAGCGAAAAGAATATTAATAATGTTGTAGGTGTCATTATTAGCACATTAATCATGTTTTACCTTAGAAGTTCACTCATGCTTATACCCATGTTGCTTTTTCTTTCAGATTTGCACGATCATCCCGCTCCCCTGAAGCCACTGATCGCTAAAGTCTCATCCAGGACAGTGTCTCACGTCTCAAGCAGCCAGCAGCAAACCCAGCCACCTCCAACTCTTCCTAAAACCTTCCCTCAGCAGCAGCCTCCTCCAACACCCCCCAAACCTGTGGTCACCATCCAGTCGCAGCCCCCACCAACGCTCCCCAAAGCCATCACTCAGTCCCCACAAACGCAGCCCAAACCTCCAGGATTCGTCCAGCCTCTCCCCAAGCCTTACGCTCAGACAGCCACCAAACCCCAGGTGCCCCCTCAGACGCCCCCCAAACCCCAGTCCTTCCCCCAGGCGCTGGTCAAGTCCCAGTCCCTCCCCCTGGACCACAGCGAGGACTTTGACAGGCTCAGCGACTACTCTGGAGATCTGCTGTCCCCCACAGAGTCTGGAGAGCTGCTTTCTGAAAGCATGTCCGCCAAACAGATGTCCATCAGGGAGAGGTGAGTGGATGATGGATGTTAAAAAATACAGTGCTGGTCAGTTGAGTTGCCAGATCGGTCGAAAACAGCATTTCGGGATTATAGCACTCTTTTCTGACATTGTTTCAAAGATTCAAAAGTTTTATTGTCATATGCACAAAGCTACCGTGTGGAAATGGCAATGAAATTCTTCTGACCTGAGCTCCTCCAACAATGCAACATATGTAATAAAATACAAAAATACAAACTAAAAAGTTGTGCAAAAAGTCTATATACATGTCAAGAACAGAATATAACATTAAATCATGTATATTAAGACTAAATTAAATGCCTTGCAAAACAGGGCTAATTTAGTTTGGTGTTATTTTATCTTATTGGATTTGAACAGTGAATTTCTGCAAATGTTTTTTCACCTTTCCATTCACTGGGTTGCAGAGCAGTGCTGAGATTAGGGATATTAAGAGAAAACAGGATGATTTGGTGATAAGAAGCTGAATAATAAATGATGTAATAGTAGGCTGTAGGCTATTTTTACCTTATCCAGTCTAAATGTGGCTCTGTCTGCCTCGGTGCTGCATTTTCCTCCTCGCTCCCTGTCAAAAATGTACTGATTTGAACAACAGTAGCTCATCTCTTATGAAGGCAACCAGTCCTTAAGACATACCTTTTAGCATTTAGGATTAAATCTGTGTGAAGGCACTCATTTAGTCTTAGTGGAAGGTCTATCTGTCTCAAAGAAATGGTTGGTATATGTCCATTTTAGAAGTCATATGAGACATACAAGAGGTATAACAGATGTTCAGCTGTTGTTCAAGATATAGACATAGAGAGACATAATAGGAACAAACAAGACAATTACTTCAGTAAAAACTTCACAAATGGGATCCGTGGTCAGGAGTACAACCTAATACTTTCCTGTAGGGATAACAAGGACTCTCAGTCAGCTGCACATTTCCAAAGAAGAACAGGGTTTTTTAAAATCAAGGTCAATCTCTAACCCTAACCCTAACCTCTAACCCTAACCCTAACCCTAACCCTAACCCTAACCCTAACCCTAAGGTGCTTCTTAAAACCTAACGCTTAGCAAAGCTGCTGGCACAAATGAACCCTGATTCCAGTCACAGCTCAGCGCTCTACGAGATGTTAGCAGAGACCAGACACTGAACTGCAGCATGATTTAATGTGCAGCGTTTGACAGAATCAGGCACTTCCTCCCCGCCCTTGCAGTGTGTAGGTTTGATTCTTACATTTTTAGAGGTGAGGGAGATTCATTTTTAGCAACAATGTGTTCCTCCGCCCATGCAGCTGTGGAGGAGAAATCCTCTGGGGTTCCTCCTAATGCCCTCATTCCTGCCCTGTCCACACTCAGGCAGCGGGGAGGTTGACACACTTTCTTTTTACCCCTCAGCCGTACGTTATCAGCGCCCACTTTGGAGTCTGTTTTTTATAGCAATCCTTCAAATCTCTGACCTATCTTTCACTCTTGAATGATTATTTTCCTTACTGTCAGGCAAATAAAGGAATTGCATTACAGTAATTGTTCACTTTATTTGTTTTTTTTATCTAGAATAAACGCCCATAGTAATGCTGAGAAAAAGCTTGTCCTGTTCTCATACATGTTAGTGGATGGACAATGTTCCCTGATGTCGAATTTTAAATGTTAAAGATGTTGGCCACCTGCCTAAAGAATTCACAATTGTTTTGTGTTACTGAGCTGGATATGTAAGCCTACGGCTGACATCACTACGTTACACTCGCGCCCCTGTTGGCTAGCGCTCCAACACATTGTAGTTGATAGGCTAAGGGGCGGGACATCTCTAAGAGGTTGACCAATCACAAAAGAGCCGGCCAGCTAACCAATCAGAGCAGACTGGGCTCTGGTTTCAGACAGAGGGTGAAAAGAGGTGCAGCAGCACAGGCAGTATGAGAAAAATAAAGAGCTTTTTGAACATTAAAGCATGGAGACAGACATGTCCCAGTAGAGACACTAAATACAAATAAGATAAGATAATACAAATGTTGATGGTTTCAGAGTGGCACTGCTGAAGAAGAGTGGTGAAGATGACTGGAGGAACAGGATCAACAAGAAGCAGGAAGTGGTTAAAGTGGCGACCACCGAGCAGCAGACTCAGCTGTGGGAGTCAGAGCAGACGAGCGAGAGGAAGGTCAGTCTGATCATCAATTACTCAAATCACATCACTTTCATTGGAATGAACATTTGAAGAGTTGCAAGCTTATGTTGCTTGTTCTAATGGTGGCCATTGTAAAACGGTGTGAGGTGGAGAGCCCTGAAATCTCTGCAGAAAAGATGTTTATATGTTATAATAACCAGTAGGAATGAGTTGGAAATGTTGTATTGACCTTTTGGGACCCTGAATGTATTTATTAATTAATATAGCGCGTTTCTAGGTTCTCTTAAAACAGGTAAACCTCTGGCTTTATTTATTTATTTGATAGGCCCATTGCGACTTAAAATCAGTATAAAAGCATAACATAAAAATGCTATAGTTAGCTAAAATGCTAATTCTATACCCATAGTTCATAGGCAGGTAACAAAAACCAGAAACCAATAGTCACAATATACAAGTACAAATACACAATCCAACACGAGTAAAAAAGACAAAATGCTTTGGACCAAAGGTCAAGTTAAAGTGATCAGTGCTGGTTGAACAGCTTTAGCCACATTTCACTGTCCATCCCTCTTGGTTGCCATGGCAGCTCCTGTCAATACTCCGTTAGCTAAGTGCTGCTTTCATTTCCTCCTTTGGTCCATCTGTTGTTTGAGCCCAGCGTTCCAGATCGGAGCAGCATCCAGTCCTGGCTGTAAACCAGGAAGCATATGGGACTGTCTGCTTCTGTAGAATTAGCAGTCTGGGGGAAAGATTCTCCTTTCTTTGAAAAGATTAGGCTCAAGGCTAAGTTTATTTGATCATCATGTCTCTATTATCTTACAAACAGAAGAGAAGATTTAGTTATTAGCTGATTTCCATCTGTCAGGTACACACGTAACAACAAACAATTCACACTTTACTTATCACACCAAGAGTTATACACATCAAGGTACCAGAGTATTTATCAGTAACTATAGTATTCATTTTAACTTAAACTGAAGTAAGTACTGTTGAGATGACTGGTTGCTAAATATCCATTGTTTTTGCACTTTTTGGAGAAAAATAAAAGTCTTTGCACGTTTTACTCTCAGCTGGGAGCAAATTCCAATTCGTAATGGCAGCGTATAAAAGTAAATGCTGTTTTTAAAAGATTATTTGACAGAAAGTTAATGTTTTAAAAGTGTATTTATGTGCAACTACATATAAGAGCTTCAGGATTGACTGTTTTTCCTGCAGTTCATCTACAGCACATTAGTATTCTGCTGGGTGAAACTGCCCGTTTAAACCCTGCATGGTACTCCTCCAGGCAGTCTCACCCTTAAAATCATTACATCAACAAAACCCCCTCTCCTCCTCCCCCTTTTTTCTCCCCCTGACCTCAGGAGGAAGGGGTGGTCGTTCAAGAATACTCCGCTGTGTCTGTGTCTGAGCAGCTGTGGGTAAGACCCGGTGTGAACCAATCATCTGCGTGCTGGACTCGTGTTGTCCAATCACAGCTTTGTGTGGACTTTGTGTGATCACTCCTCCTTAATCTGTCCGTCTTTGGGAGCTCTTCTGTTACCCTGCAGTCCGAAATGAAAAAAGGGGCATTAAGTAACTTTGTAGATATACAGTAATGCAAAGGCTGAATATCATTAGTTTTGCCCTTTGATACATTCTGTACATCTATTTAAAACTGCTGTAAAATTATATAAATCCTACTTTCAAGATATTGTACCACCTGGATTCACTTTTATGTCGGTGGACAGCAACATCAGTTATTTACTTACAAAAAATATATATATATTCTATGATGGCTACACATTTGAACAGTTAAAAAGCAAACACATTTAGTTGTATAAAGAAACAAGTTATTACGTAAGTGTAAAACTAATGTTTTTAAGAACATTCCTGCTGCTTTTGCATTGCTTTCATGGCTTAAAAGATATATTCAACATTAAAAAAGGAGAAAAAAGCTGTTTCAAAGAATACACTTCAGAAAATCCATGTCTAAAAGACAAATAATAATAAATAATACATATATTTCTGATGTTAAAATTATATGTATAGTATTATTTCATTTTTAAGGGCATTTATTGTTAGTATTAAATTGTATTAAATTGTATTACATTGTTAAAAGCATATTTAAATTAAAGAATCTGAGGAGGTAAAAATATGTTATGAAACACCGCTATAGATTTTATCTGTAAATATAACACTTTGAGGTCATGACTGTGCCTTTAAGCTTCGAGCTGTGTTTTCACCGCACCAGTAATTTAATATGTGACTTTCTGTGAACAAGCTGTTCCCGTCTCAATTTACAAAATACAAGAGGGGGAAACGGCTTTCGCAGTTTGCTGATTCATCTACTATGCCTAACAGTTAGAATTGAAATTGTATTCAATGCCCTTTAATGATTTGAAGTGCATTTTGGTTTGGGGAAGCATGGTGTTTTAATTCACAAGCAATCCATTTTACGTTTGAAAGGCTTTAGTTATTTCTCAGAGATAACAAAATGGTGTTTGTTTGTTCCAAAAACATATTTAAACTAATCAGAATCCACTTTATAAGCATAGTATGTGTACAAACATACGAGTAATTTACATGTTTCTCAGTGTTCCAACACAGAAATAAATAGAACAGCTACAAACTAGAAAGATAACAAAGCTTTAAAAACACACATTTAATTATAAAGAACATACAAGTGGGGGAAAAAATATCTAACTATGAGAAAATAAAAGATTAACACCATAACAATATTTCTTTTGTACATTATTCATTGCTTTTTACAGACGGATAGCGAGTCATTTTACATTTCCAGTTTCTTGCCTTCTTCTCCTTCTCCTTTGCATCGCCCCCTTATCCTCCTTCATCTGCATGCTCATCATTTCCTCCTTTGCTTTCCTTTCTTTCACTTTTCCATCTACCTCTACACCCTCAGGAACCTGTCTTCTCTTCCACCTTTTCTCCTACTATATCCCTCGGTCAAAAGTGTCAGTATATTGACCATCATAGTCAGGTAAGGACATGCACCTGGCACGCTGCATGTACCGGAGTCTTAAAGGTCCCATGTCATGCTTTTCCGGTTATTACCCGTCCCCTTGTGTGTTATGAAGGATTTTCTGCATGTAAATGGTCTGCAGAGTCAAAACCCTCAAAGTACACCCTGTAGCGAGTAAAACTCTAACACAGAAAATACCTCCCCAAAACGCCTCGTTGGAGATACGTCACTCTCCATTTGATTCTTCCGTACCCGGAACGAAATGGACCAATCCGTGGAGCCGTTACGTTACGTCCGCGGAGCCGTTACGTTAAGCCCCCGCTGATTGGTCCAAATTGACCAATCCACGGACTTCCTCACACACACACTCAGTGCAGGCAGCTCTGCTGATCTCTCCTCCCTGGCTGCAGGCTGATAACAGACAGTTGGGATCGCGGCGAAATTCTCTCTGCAGACCCATTCTCACAGCGTTTATCAACCTTTTTCTTACTCAATATCAAGCCACACTTATTGTTTTTACTTCGGCTGTGACTTTGTGTGTGCTCAGGGTGAGTTTGGCTGTGTTTCGCTGTGTATCGCTAAACAAGGAAACAACACCTCCACGGAGCTCAGCGCGATTCACAACGTCCGAAACGTGTGCTCACAGGGAGGGGGGGGGGCTGGAGCTATTGGAGCTACAACGGAGCCGTTAAAGGCAGAGAGTGAAATTCAGTGAATACATACTTTACAGAGATGCTGTATGAGAAACCAAAGTGATTTGAGAAAATTGCACAATATAAATCTATTCTAGTAGACCTCAACAATGGAATTATGATCAGTGGAAATGGCCATGACATGGGACCTTTAAACTCCTGCTTTGTTGGTTTCTTTGATCTCAGTGTATATCCATCACTCCTACGGTAGAATAAAGTACTTCATATCAGCTAGAACGGACATGCAGATAGCCCGCTCGAGTGTATAACATCTCCTTATATCTGCTCGGTTTGACACTGTGACTTCATGAATAATCGCTCCCGAGGGAAGAAGCGTGGAGTCACATGAAGTTAATGTGAAGCTGCGTGAGAGGCGGTGTACTTCTCTGACTCATACGGATCAAGTGGAAGCTTTTTGATTTGGCTCCATGATCTTGTTTGAAGTTTTAATGCAGCACTTTCACGTGTGTAGGAAATATCCCTGACATAATGGCCTTGCAGAGTTTATAGCATTGCATGAAAGACGTGCAGCTTTAAAATCTTTAATAACTTGATGGTTTTTCTCACTTTAATTGTCTGTGCAGAAGGTGGGAGAGGACATCGAGGCCAAGATGTCCATTGAGGAGAGAAAACAGNCTGCACCTTTCTAAAAAAAACTAAAATAAATAGAAATAGATGGTCTGCCCTTCATATGTTCTTATTCACAGCCAATCATAACAGTATCGTAGGAAAATAAGAGAAACACAAAAACTTACAAAAAAATACTTCGTTCCCACTTGACAGTTAACGGAAAGAAACAAAAAAATAAAATCCTACCCGACCATGAAAAAACGAACGCATTATCATCACCACCCCAGAAGGCAGAAATGTTAGATTTGATGCTTCTGAGATTTAAATACGTGATTTCTAAATTGCAACAGAGGATAACGTTTCTAAATTGAACAAATAGATTAGTTATGATGTGGTGATATGTATGTCCAGAATAAAACATCACATCTAACTATCTTTGACTTTCAGATATCATATTACATGGATGACCAAAAGGAAGATTACATTTGAATTATAAATGGCATAAATGCAATCTCTTATTTCATGCACACCATCCGAGTCCTTATGATGTCTTTGGGTCTCAAAAACTAATATATTTCTCAGCTAAATATCAAATATTTAAACATCAGGGTTGCACATTATATATAGTTTAAAACTGAGTACATATTTGTATGTTTTTTTAACGCATAATTAAGTACTATGGATATTCAACATCTCTATCTCATAGTTTCCTCATGCTGTACAGCACTAATGAACATGCATGCAAACACCAGCTTGCTGTGGGACAACAGTGGCAGATTACTGGCACAGCAAGGAGACATAAGTAGATCAGCGCACATATGCAAGATAATCATTTAATGCACTCTCGTGTTTACAGGGGATATGGCGATCTCTCAGCAGTGTGCTAATTTAAATCCACGCTGGTACACAAATCACAGGACACATGAACCCAGACATTCAGAGTGCTTTAACCGGCTCAACTTCTGACCTTTCCTTAAGATATGTAACCTCTTGCTTCACCCACATTTGTGACCTGTGTGTCATGAACACTGCAGGAAGAGAAGGCTTGGAAACTGGGCATGGAAAGTGAGTAAAGGAGTAATCGTGTAAACACTGACTTCTTTTCCCTACAAGGTGCACAGTGAGACGAAGCAGCAGCACATGAAGGGGGCAGAAATAACAAAGTAAGTTGAGCTGCATGAACACATCAGCTGTGCAGCCAGGAGAGGGAGATGGAGAGTAAAACATCCACACTGTTCAGAATAGGAAGAAATGACAAATGAAATATGAGGAAACAGGTGCACTGGCTCTGACACTACATTTCAGTTGGTTACAATTCAACACTTTCCTTTTGTGGGAGAAATATGCTGTAGATGTAAAGGGAATGTCAAGATGAATAACTCATATTCTTTGGAACCAGCTTCAAGTTTCTATTAGGGAGGCAGACAGCGTTCCCACTTTTAAGAGTAGGCTAAAGACCTTCCTTTTTAATGAAGTCTATACTGTATGTAGGGCTCTGGTTTCAGACAGAGGGTGAAAAGAAGTGCTGCAGGACAGTCAGTACGAGAAAAATAAAAACCGTATTTGAAAACAGCCAGAAGTGGGACAAAAACACATGAACCAGAAAATGAGCATAGGGCATATTTAAAACTGTAAAACAGGGTTGGTTAGAAGTCGGTAACTACCTTTTCAAATAGTTTATTTTTTGTTTTGAGCATTATATGTCTTTAAATGCATGGAATGTCTAAGGTAATAGCACTGTGTCCGCTTGGATTCATTATTCTAACACACTCTTTCTGAATCTTTTATGTCTCTTCACTTTAAAAAAAAGAGTTAACATACGGACATTTTTTCATTGTTGCCCCTAAAATGGAGAAATCTGGAACCAACTCTTCAAACATTATAAAGTCACAGAAACCTTCAGCGGTAGAACCTTCAGTTCACTCAAAGTTTGAAAGTATGGAAACATCTTCTCAGAGAAAGTGTGTGAGAAGGTGTGTATGTGTGTGTTAGAGTCAAGATCAGAGAACGACAGCTTTCCTCCATTATAGTCCAGATTCACTCTGACCCTCGGGGGCCTCGTCTGAAGTGAGAGATCAGTGTCTGGATGTGATGGAGAGGATGCTGTGTAGCCACCTAACCAGTCAATACATATTCTCCATAATCCAGATTGTATGTCTCTCTTCCTGTAGGCAGACTCTGCTAACACACCCAGTGACCACCATGTACTGTCTCCAACCTGGACGTCCCAGCTGTGAGTCCCTGAGTCAAAGCCCTCAGAGCCCAAGACACAGAGTCGAATCTATCAAAACCTCTCTGGATTATTACAGGAAGTTCCCTGTCTCTTCTCCTCGTCATCAACTCTGGTCAGATCTTCAGACCAGGATGCAATGTATGGATGAGCAGTGTTTGGTCCAGGTATGAGGGAGAGTAGGACACCATGTCCTTCATCTTGCTCCAGATGTTGAAGCTGAGGTTGCCCAGGTGTTTGGCTTGGTCTATCAGAGCTCCTGAGGGCAGCTGTGGAGCCTCCAGCAGGGGGCGCTGCAGCCTCTCCACTGCAGCCTTGTAGTTGTGCAGGAAGGAGACATCTTCAGCTTTCAGCTCCTTCTCTGTGGCTCTGACTGTTTGTGAAAGAGCTGCTATCTCTCTGCTCACAGCCTTCATCTTCTCCTCCATCATCCTCCTCTTCTGCTGCTCTTCCTCCCTCAGTGCAGCCATCCTGGCCTCCTCTTCCTCTTCTAGAAACTGGTGAAGCTTCTTGAACTGCTCCTTGATCTGCGTCTCTGTGTGTTGAGCCTGGACCTTCATGTGTCCTGCTGTTTGATCAAACTTCACTTTGACGCGTTCAAAGAGCTTCAGTTTCTCCTGTAAGGGCTGCAGAGACTTCCGGAGCTCCTCTCTGAGACCCTGTGCAGCTTCATCGATGGGTCTGATCGTGTGGTCGGTGTGTTTATCTGAATCTCTGCAGACGAGACACACCGGCTGCTGATGGTCCAGACAGAAAAGTCGGAGTTTCTCAGAGTGCAGAGTGCAGAGAGCCTCTGGGGATCTCTGATCTCTCTCCTGTAAGAAACTCTCACACAGGTTCTTTAACGTAAAGTTAGCAGGAAGTAAGTCCTTGGAAAATCGTCTCTTACAAACTGGACACTCCTTTCCTTCTTTCCCCGTCCACCAGGTCTGCAGACAGTCTCTGCAGAAGCTGTGGCAGCAGGACAGGATGACAGGATCTCTAAAGATTTCATGGCAGACCGGACAGCTGAGATCTTCCTCTAATTTGGACGCCATTATTCTCCCGTTGAAGCTGAAAACTCGGTAGGCGTCTGTTTGCCTTCAACAGGAAATCAGTTCAACTCGATGATAATATATCCTCTTCACAACGTTGAGTCTCTGTTCTGTTGCAGCTTGTTGAAGTATCCCCTCCTTACCGTTACCTTCTGTGAGTGGACAGAGGTTTTGTTCTGCGGTGAATCAGGCGACCTTTGTCCTCTTGTTAGGAGCATCAGGTGCGTCACATGAGGGCGGAGGTTTGTTCGCGCACTTGGAAGTTGGACTTATTTTTTACGGATTTTTCTACCTTTTTTAATAGGAAGTAAAAATGACCTGTCAGTGGAGGAGATTCATAAATATATCGTGGTGCAGTTTGTGTGGGTTTTGATATACCCTGCCTTCAGTATCATGTAACCTCCTGTTGTGTTTCTGAGGTCGTCTTTCCGAACTTTGCTCAGCCCTTTATCTCTTTATGGTTTTATCACTCAGAGTTGCCTGTGAGGAAATCTCATGAAAAGGATAAGGAGACTTATATACTTATTGTATGTCGCTGTGGATAGAAGCATTAGCTAAACCAAATGTAATGTAAAGATAAATTATATAAAAAGTATGTTGAATATCTACTTTTGATCTACCGTGGCCCACAAACAGACACCTTCGGGATACAGAGAGATAAGCACTGTTAACCAAGGTGGTCCTGAAGGGAAAGTCCCAGTGGCTCAAATTATAACCAAGCTTTTATGTTGCCTGAAAAAAGGCAAGACAAGAAAAACGGGGAACCTTTCAAATTTTGAGAAAAAAGTTCACATTTTTAGTTTTCAGATAAAAGTAACATTTATGAGATTTTGAGAAAATAAATTCTATTATTTTCAGAATTTTTTTTTTTTTAAATTACAATTATTTGCTGAAATAAAGTATTATTTTTTCTGAAAACAATTCTACATTTGGGATTCTCGGGTAAAGACCAGAATTCTGAGATTTTCAGATAAAAGTCAAAATTATGAGATTTTGAGAAAAAAAAGACAAATTATAATTTTTCTGAAGAAAGTTCAAATGTTGTGAAAAAAGATCAAAATCTTCTGTGAGTGGGCGGAGGTTTTGTTCTGCGGTGAATCTGACCGCCTGTCTCTCGCTGTGTCTGCTGTACAACAGGTGACCTTTGACCTCTTGTTAGGAGCGTCAGGTGCGTCACATGAGGGCGGAGGTTTGTTCGCGCACTTGGAATTTTGACTTATTTTTAAGAATGTTTCTACCTTTTTTAAGGAATTTAACTAATTCATTCAAATTCTATTGCATATTGCATGCTGTCCATGGTCATTTCTAAACCCAATTTTAGGTTTGGTATGACACAACCAAACATGTTCTCCAACAAACTTAGATGTGTGTGTTTTCTTAAGTGAGCTACACAGATGCAAATCACATGTACCTGATGCTGGTCACATTGGTGCTGACTGCAGTGGGGCTGGGGACGCGAGCGGCGTTAGAGTGGGGGCTCAGAGTTTGTGACGATGTGGCAGGATCACTTTAAAGTGGAGAAAAGGGAGGTGTCGGTGAAAGGCTGGTAAATACAGATAGTGCAAGGCAAAGGAAAATACTGTCACTGAAAAGATAAGATATGAACGCATTAAAAGAGGTAAAAGGATCAAATAAACAGGAGGGCAAGAAAAGCAAAAAACAGAGCGAACTGAAGCAAAACAAAATACAGCGATGCAAGAACAATCCAAGACATACCTTGAAGCATTGACCACCTCCTTGTTGGTGACGGGTTGTGTTTGCGACCGATCCTGAACCCTCCTCAGGCGGCGCTCTACGGCAGCGTTTCTGGAGCGCGGTTTGGGAACATCTGATGTCCTTTCCAGCTCCTGGGGAATAAAACATGACAGGAACACTTCAGTCATTCGCTTAGTAAAGTTTAGTCCATAACAGTGTTAATTTTAGAAACGTATTATAGCAACTTATATTACACAAACTTAATTGTCCGCTGTGTATCTGATCAAAGCTCCAGGTTTTCCTTTTCAGATTGTAATTTTAAAAACACGGCTCATTCGAGTGTTTTGATTGTCTGTCCTTATGATTGAAATGTACATAACGTCGAAAGCATACCCTGAAGAGGGATCTCTTGGCAGCCACACTCATCTTGGCTCTGTCATCCAGAGTTTCTCCAGCTAATGAAAAGGAGATGTTACATTGAATCAGCTGTATTCAAATCTCCGGGAAAATATATTGTGCATTCCGTTAATGCAGTAAACTGAATTTACCTTCTGCATCTTGTAGCTGTGAAGGGCTGAGACGGGACCTGCAGAAAAACATGAATTTGTATCAAGCATCAGCATTTAGTCTACATTGTATTCTATTTAAGGAACTGATTATCATGATATAATGCCAACCTAGAACAATGCCATACAATTCACAGTATTAAACAAGTGAATCATGCAAAGAAAATGACTCTCAGAGCTCCTGAGGGTCAGTACAGAGAGCCCCTCCTGTACCTATCTGACTCCAGCCGCTCTGCAGAGGTAATGGGCTGCGTCCTAAACCTCTCCGACATGCGACTGTCTCCTGGAGTGATGTAGCGACGAGGTTTCCGAACACCCCTTTCCCGATCAGCGCTGATAACCGGCTCTACCTCCACTGCTGACAGATCGACTTTAGTAGTCTCACTTTTTTTGTGATTTAGAAAGATTGACGAGGACAACAAAAAGGAGAAGTACAAGTAAGAAAACTATTGTTGGTTTTGATGTTGTTTTAGTAGACGAGCAGTTTACCAGGGACCTCAATTAGGTTAGAAGAGCAGGGTGTCATACATTGATAGTGGTGCACACGCTGAGCACAACCTAAATGTGAAGAGCCATCCACCAACGTTAACATGCAGCTGCAGACAACTTCCAAAGGGTAACTTGCATGAGTAAGTTAGCTCCAAAAACAAACTGCTGACGCGATAAGGAACGTGAAAATTGTAGATATCATCGTAATACACCTTGACACATTTCATGCCACAGAATGACATTGTATTGAGTATTTTTCTTGAGTCATTGGGATTATTAATCTGCATACGTTAGACAGTTATTTAGCGGTGCAACACAGAGCCCATGCCATTGAACCTACAACTCAGGTTTCCGGTTGGCGTTCTCCAGGTAGGAGTGTCGCAGCTGTGCTACCGACACCCTGGTGTCCAGGCTGCCCATCTCCCCGTTAGCCATCACCGGTGGAGGGACGGCCCTCAAAGCTTCTCGACTGGCCGCTGCCCTCTCCATGCGGTACGTGTTAGAATGCTGACTTATACCTATATCTGACATGGAGCGGGTTCGTGTCTTTGATTTGGGCACTCCGCTCATCTCAATGCTTCTGTGTTTGGCCTGAGGCAACGAGGAGCCCTGCTGGACGTAGATGGCTGAGTCAAACCTCTGGTTCCCTGAAAGGTCTAGCTGCTGCTGCTGCTGCCTCTGGGGCTCAACGTCCTTGTCGAGTTTGGGCTCTTGTTGATTTCTGCGGGAGTCTTGCTGCTGATTTGGAGGATCTTTTCTCTGAAGCTCAGAATCCGGTATTCTTTGAAGCAGCTGTTGTCTTTGAAGATCTTGTGACCGCCTCGGGTGGTCATCCCGATGCTGCATTTGAGGATCTTGTGGTTGTCTTAAACGATCGTCCCGATGCTGCATTTCAGGATCTTGTGGTTGTCTCAAACGTTCATACTGATGCTGAACTTGAGGATCTTGTTGCTGTCTCAAACGATCGTCCTGAAGCTGCATTTGAGGATCTTGTGGCTGTCTTAAGTGGTTGTACTGATGCTGCATTTCAGGATCAGGTTGTCTCTTTCTGGTTTCATACAGTGGTTGTGCTGGGGGTTCTTGCTGCTGAAGTTGGGGCTCTTGCTGTTGAACTTGAGCCACAGGTTGTCTCTTTCTAGGTTCATACAGTGGTTGTGTTGGGGGTTCTTGCTGCTGAAGTTGGGGCTCTTGCTGTTGAACTTGAGCCACAGGTTGTCTCTTTCTAGGTTCATACAGTGGTTGTGTTGGGGGTTCTTGCTGCTGAAGTTGGGGCTCTTGCTGTTGAACTTGAGCCACAGGTTGTCTCTTTCTAGGTTCATACAGTGGTTGTGTTGGGGGCTCTTGCTGATGAATTTGGGGCTCTTGATGGTACACAGGCTCTGTGGACTGATGCTGCCTGGGCTGCTGGCTTGCAGAAATGTGGGGAGGCTGGGATCGAAACAATCTCTCCTGTTGGCCATCATCACTCCCTCTCTCTCTGATCCTCTCGACATTTCTCTCCCTCCCCCTCTCCCTTGGTGTCTCATGATCCCAGTCTTCCTCGCCTCGACTCATCCTCCTCTGTTCTGGGCTGTATGTTTGCCAGTCCATCTCTTCATGCGGGCCACTTTGAGTATCATCCACACTCTTTTCCCTTCGGCGAATCTCAGATGGCAAAACGGCTTTCCTGCTCTTCAACAGACCCTCTGTGTGGGCCTCTTCCTTCAGCGCCTGCCTGGCCTCCATTCTTGCCCCCCTATGGGCGGCATGGATTTGGTCGGCACTCACTCTTCTTCGTGGTAGTACCTCGGGGGGTCCAGGAAGTTTGGCAGTGGCCACTGGGGCAGGGATGGCCAAATAAGGCTGAGAGTCAACAGCAGGACCAGAGTGTTGGTACTCAGGATGGGCTGTTTGGCCTGGGCTGGGCTGAGGATGGGGAGCAGTCCTTTGCAGGGGGAGTTCTGATCGTTGTGGCGTATACTGAGCAGTGTTCCCCTGAGTATGGTGTCTGTTACCCTGGTGTCTGTCTGGACTCCAGTCAGGGGGCTTCTGGACTGTTTCATCCCTGGACAAGCGTTCCCTTACCCGGATTCTTTAGGGAAGGAATGGATAGGGTACACTGAGATTCCAGTTCAATTAAAGACACACTTCTGAACTCAAACAAAAGGGGACTAAATAGCACATACCAAGCTTTTTTTTTTTTTTAATTGGATACAAAGGATGGTTAATAAATTAAATTAGCCAAAGTAGTAGTATCATTTGTCTTACAATCTAACCCTAACCCTAACAAATTGTGAAACATATTGCATACACGTTCATTACATTAGACTATCATGGGACAAACTTGAGCTTCCAAATCATAGAGTAGTATTGAAACAAGGTCAAGTAGCAGCATGCCCTGGGTTTAAACTTGAGTTTTGCTTCGAACAACTCTCTGACGTCTCCTTGCAGAAAAAGTAAGCCAAACTATTTTCATCTACAACCTTCTGACCCCGGGTAGCCAAAGGTTGCTCTAATCTCATTGAAGAGCACTAAGCCAGACATAATTGATGGGCCTCTCCTTTATCTGACATGGCACGAAGGACTTACACTGTGCTGGTATACATGAGTTCACACCAATGCTAGCTAGCATAAGCGGCTGATAAGGCTACAAAGGTGCTGATGGCAGCAATATCTTCTTTTGAGACACATCAGATGTTTTCCTTTTCAAGTGACTTTGGCAAACATTAAGATGTCTGTGGTGTTCAGCAATAAAATCAATGAATATTTACTAACACTCTCTTTCAAGGTTGGTGTGGTTTGCTAGCCTTGCCTCTTTGAATTTCACCAGTCCTTACAGCTCAAAGGCTGTCCATGGAACTTCATCGTTCCTAAGGCTATCAGAAAACGAGATATGTCACGTAACTGGGCCACCGTCCAGTCCAGAAATACATGTAGAACCAAGGACTTCTACAATCTAGGAAAATAAAATTTGAGTTTTCTGGTAATCAGTTTTTCTCTAGAATCCTTTCAGCGCTAAATGATACTAGGTGATTCAAAAGTCTACATGCAAGCTGTCAAGGCAACATTCACGTCTTATCTTATGCAACATCATTGACAAGGTAACTGACAGGGATAGGAGATTCAGGAGTAATTTCATAGGGGTTAATAGGTCAGATTGTGAGGAGGGGGGATTTGAGCGCCGCCTCAGCTGACAAGTGCTGAGTCAGTGGGTCTACGACTGACTGGGTCAGGGCATCAAGCTGACTAATGTTGTCACCTCATCAAATCTGTTTCACTAACACTCAACTGCTCATGAAAATCAGGCCACACAGTCACAACTCATTTAACAAGAGCGATGGTATTGTGCTGGTGGACAAATGGTTGTTTTTAAAAGGTTCTGGGTATGTTTAAAGAATATTATCCAACATAATGTGACAGAAGAGGTGTAAGTGGATCACCCCAGATTCCTGCAAGGTATTTTTAGAGACTATTTATTTAGTAGACAGAGACTGTTTCCATGTTTTAAGAGAACAAAAAGAACTGTTTATAAGGCTTAATATTTAGTAAAACAAGAATTTAACCAGAGGATTTCTAGGTTGATTCTTAGTTGGGATGTAGCAAGAGATGAACCCACAGTTCTGACACAAATGAAATGTAATTAATTCACGTGACATAGAACATGCACAAGATTATAACTTAAATAAGATTTATGATGGCAAAAAAGTGAGTGATCTAGAAAAACAGATGAAAATGTATGTATTGAGTGAATCTTTTAAGGAATAAATGTTAATTTGTAAGATTTGCAAGTCCGTTTTTCAAACCCACTAAAATCCACAGACTTAAAACACTTGTTAAATGGAGGATAATTACACAAGTTAATAGAGGGAAATATTACTGATTAAATATAATATTGCACAGTTAGAAGGTTTATCTAACGGGATGAGTTAGCTGTATGTCCACCCAGAACATGTTTTTAAAATGCTGGCATGTTATCCTGTTACCTTTTCTAGAAGTATTTTTGACATTTTCCTAGATTTCAGAATATGTTTAAACCGTGTTTTGAAGACATGTTATTGTTTTTGAAGACCTATGAATATTGTGTAAAAGAGGTAACAGTATAATTATAGAATAAGTGACTACAGCCAGCTTAAGCACATGAACCTGGTGGACTACAGTGGCTTTGTGAGGTCTTTCCACTGATCCTGAGCACAGTACCTTGAAGGCCAGCTGAAGTCTGCCTGAGTGTCGCTCTCTGAGTCTGTGTTGAGAGACCAGTCGCTCTTTGACAGGGCGGCCAGGCTACAACATGATGTGGTGACAGTGTCAAACCCAGAGGGGAACTTATGATCATTCTTTCATACTGTAGGTCAGAGAAATGTCAGCTGCACTGTACAGCTGAAGTGTCAATCAGGAATATTTGCAGATATTTGCATAATTGAGCAATCAGATTATTGTTTAGTTGGTTGGTAAAATGGTTGTGTACTGTGCACATTTTGATAAAAAGTGTGTCAATAAAGTTTGACTATTTCAATTGGTATAGAATACATTTTTCACCTTCATGAATCTGAATGCTATTATTCCTAGTTTTCCGTTCACGGTATTATGCTTGTTTAGGTTTCAATGCCATGAAGTACAATTCTTTATAACTTGCTTTGATTGACAAATAATACAATTCTCATTAGATCTTAGCGACAGTAAAATAACGTGATGTTTCTGACCAATGTCCTGCAGAGTTGATGTAGGGTGTAAGAAATCAAATCAATGTTTATATGGCGTAATTTAAATTAAAAACACTGTTTTAATTGAAAGCGGTTTTATTCTGAAAACCGGAAATTAAATACACTGTTTTGATTTAAAACGGTTTTATTCTGAAAAACCGGAAGTTCACAAAACGACTTCTTGTTTGGCGAGTAAATATTGTTATGTTCAATTTAAGGTTAGCATTAGCATGTGGCTAAAGACTACATTTTGAAACAGTGAATTGAAGGTGAAATGACATGTGGTGTTGTACAGTAAACACACTGTCTTTAACCCTCACTTATTGACGCTGCAATACTGTAATTAGGGAATGTTTAAATAACCACACAGACATTAGAATATTGTAAATTAACAACAGGAAAAGACAGGATATGCATTGGATACGCCCCTGTCGACGCCGCCCAATAGGAGGAAACAAGAGTTGAGAACACGTGGAGATTGGGAGAAATCTCTCTCTTTCAACTCAGCTGACCCGGCCGGCAACAGCTGGGAGGGGGGAGACGTGCCATCTTGCACATTCTCATTTTGTGTATCATTTGTTTAATTAAATGCTGTTAACTTTTGAGAAAGTTTCCTTGGACTCTTTTCAGCTATTATGTCCTTCACTGCAAACATCGCTACTACAACCCGCTGCTGCAGATACACGCTTTACAACATCAGGAGGATATGTCCCCAGCTGACCCAGAAAGCGACGAAGGTTCTGGTCCAGGCTCTCGTCATCTCACGCCTAGACTACTGCAACTTCCTCCTGGCTGGTCTACCTGCATGTGCCATCCGACCTCTGCAGCTCATCCAGAATGCAGCGGCTCGTCTGGTCTTCAACCTTCCTAAATTCTCCCACACCACGCCGCTCCTCCGCTCCCTTCACTGGCTTCCAGTAACTGCTAGAATCCACTTCAAGACACTGGTACTTGCGTACCATGCTGCGAATGGATCTGGCCCTTCCTACATCCAGGACATGGTTAAACCGTACACCCCAGCACGTGCACTCCGCTCTGCATCAGCCAAACAGCTCGCTGCACCCTCACTGCGAGGGGGACCCAAGTTCCCATCAGCAAAAACACGTGGGTTTGCTATCCTGGCTCCAAAATGGTGGAATGAGCTCCCCATTGACATCAGGACAGCAGAAAGCTTACACATCTTCCGGCGCAGACTGAAAACTCATCTCTTTAGACTCCACTTCCAGTGATAGAATTACTAACAAAGCACTTATATACTAATAAAGGACTGGCTTATCTAAAAGCCAGTTGAGTAGCACTTGAAATGTTTGGCTCTATGAAACCTGATGTACTTATGATTCTGTTTTCTTCAAGGTTGTATCTTCCTGGTCGAATGTACTTATTGTAAGTCACTTTGGATAAAAGCGTCAGCTAAATGCAATGTAATATTCCTGCTCTCAGGGCTAAGAAATCCTTACAAGGGACAATATTGAAGGGTTGACCATTGCTTTTATAAATATTTGCAATATGAGATTTTTGATAAATGATGTAGGTCAACGACAATAAAAGAACATCTACAGCAGTCTGCTATGTTAATAAAGATACATTACTTCGATGTAATGCCCCCTTTTAAACCAGGGAAAGAAATTATGCCAGATTAAAATATCCAATATCTGAGTAGATCCCCAGTTTCATATAATATGGAAATATAATAGCAATGTTTGCTGCCAAGCCCTAGTTCTCATCCCTTTTGTGGTAGCATATAAGTTTCTTATAGCAAGTGACATAAGCGCTTTGCTAATGAACCAAGCTGCTGTTAAATCAGGATAACCTCTCGGGGTCAAGGAAGGAAATCATACCCACTCCAAAAACCGACCCTGACATCTACCCTGCAACTTTTCCCTGAGGAACTCCCCAGAGCACCTTTCCATGTGAAACTGGAGCAGGGCGAGCGTGACAGAGCCGGACTACAAAAGATCCTAACACTGGTGCAGTGTTGAAGCGGCAGGCTGGTTAGCTTAGCAGCCAGAAGACAGCCCAAACTGCACCGATTCATGAATATCTCAGTGTAGGACTTATTAGCAGCCAGTTGATCAGTGTAAATATTGTCATGAAAACAGGGGTTCGAGTTGTTTAACCCCCTAATGTAGTCTAAAGATACACTGCAGACACAACGTTATACTTTTAAATGGTCCGATCACTCGACGGGAAGCAGATAGAATAACCCAGAGAGTCATTTAATGGCTTGTGATAATGATCAAGGCCATTTAAAAAGACCTTTGAATGACTTTTCATGTTTAGAGTAAGAGTTAGTCTCTGTATCAGACGCATGTCTCAGAATCTGTTCAGTCGTCAGTGTTGTATTTTCTGAATGTTATGACCGTTTTTTTATGAACTCACCCCTGCCTGTTGAGGATGCTCTGGGCCTGCTGCTCTATGAATAAATCCCCAGGTGAGATGCCGTAGCGGTTGGAGGGCAGCGAGGCCCGGCGGGCGGTGCGAGGGGAGCTGGGCACCGCCGCGATGCTGTAATCCCGGCTGGAGGCGGGGCTTGGCTCCTGGTGGGCGTGGTCCTGCTGGTGCTGGTGATGAGGCTGCTCCTGGGTTCTCGTTAAAGGAGCGATTGAGCGCTCTTGAGCCCCACCACGTCGGTAGTTCTCCATGTTCATCGCCCTTTCCCGATCAGAAAACCTCCGCTGCCTTTCCTGTGTCTTGGGATGGGCTTGGTTTGAGTGGGCGGGGCTGGGGGTGGAAACAGGGGCGGGGTCCGGCTGATTCCTCATGTAAACCCTGCCCACTCCGGAGCGGTATGGCACCCTGGGATCTCGTCCTTGTTCCTCAGCTTCCTGTCTGTCTCTTTCTCGCCTTGCAGCTGTTTGTCGGTCGGGGGTGTCCGTATCACGGCGGGATCGGTGGCGAGGTGTGAAGTCGACGTCCGCCTCCTGATCCAGGAGAATGCCATACCGCTCTGAAAGCTGCCGGCGGCGCTCAGCTTTGTAGCGGGCGATGCGTTCAGCCTTGGAGCTGAGACTGGAGGGGTCAGCGGGACCAGATGTGGGTGTAGAAGAGGTGGATAGCGACACTGGGTCAACGTACACCAACATGGGGTCTGGGCGGCTGCTGCCAACACCGCCTTTGATCTGAGGGGATCTGTCCTGAGATGAAAGCTGCTTCTGGGGGGCCTCCAGCTCCTCTCGACTGTAGCGTCTCACTGTGGTAAATAGTGGAAATACTCCATTACTTATTAACAACATTGATTGACAACCAATCATTTGCCACATTCATGCCCCGCAGGAGTTACTGTAGTTCATTTTGTGTCTTCTGGATAGAGTTTAACCACCAAGTCACAATTATGGTTGGACGACATATTTTTCTAAAAGCTCAAATAGCTAATTGATCAAAAATGCACAAGTGCAACAAAGAAAACCAATTTGGATGCCTCCTATTAGCCACAGTTAACAAATCAAGGCAGTTGCTGTTATCAAATTATACGTATCGTTATTTTGACTTCATATGGTATATTTTAAGTCACACACAAACCAATCTGCGATGTTACTGTCCTGTATAATGATGTTAACACTTGCAACCTTCATCCAACGTGACATAAATATGACATTATTTTTACAAAACACATCACAGATTTACAAGTCAATTAGTGAATTCAATTCCTTCAAAATGCAACAACATGCAACAGCTTCTGTGTGTTTTATTTTCACTGACACAGTTACATTATGTTGACATTAAAGTAGCCAGGGTGATTTTAAAACGTGTTTCTCCAGAAGCAAAAACATCTGATTGCAGATTGTGCACCAAGATGATTAATTTATTTTTAATATTGATGAATATCTTTAAAAAAGGAGCAAGTCGAACTTTGTAAAAAAAAATATATATGTGTGAGGTTTTTCTGAATTGTTCTTTTCTTTAAATATTTTTGCATTTCTGGTCAGGTTTTATACTTCACAAATTTAAAATGTGCCGTAAATCTGGAGGATGGAAACCCACCTAGAGAGAGTAAACTGGCAGACGAAAAAATAAAATAAATTCTATGGTTTACAAATACTGAATGACAAACATGACTTAAGGGCCGTTTGACAAACACAAGAAAATGTCAATGTTGTCAACCCAAGTAAGGCAGCATCATATATTGTTGCAGTGCATCGTGCCATGCTTACCCGTCACACAAGGCTCACAGGGGTCTGAGGCGCGGGTGTACCGCGGGGAGTCCTCCTCCAGCATCCTGTTGGCTACCAAACCACCGGGCACCAGCGCAGGCGGAGCATCGCTCTCCATCCCCTCCAGACGCCGGGCTATCCTCTCCTTCCTGTGACCAGATGCGAGGCAGAGAGTAAAGGTCAAAAGTTGTTGGACTGGGTTTGTTTTTAATCAAATTATTTAGACGTGTTTATGTGAAAACACAGAGAAGTGAGCCCTGAAATTACCTGTTCATTCCCAAATCTTCTGGGACAGGTCCCTCAAAGTATTTCTTCAACTCTGAAACTGAATATTAGAAGAGAAAATATATATTTAGTGTCGTAAAACAATGAAAACAATGAAATGATTAGATTCATTCTCAGTGATTTTTTGTGTTTGGAGCCAATGCACACCCTTGGGGAGGACAAACAGAACTTTGGCATCTGTATCTGAAACACTCTTGACCAGGGCGGTCTTTTCCTCCAAGGAGAAGTCACTCTGAAAACTGAATGAGAGGAAAGAGTCACAACATGCCATCAAGAAAATCTAGATTTAATAAAAAAACAACGTTCATTATTGGAGGGTGGGTAGCTGCTATATTCTAGTTTACTATTGGTTGAAAGAGGTGTAAAGTGATGCTGAATGGAGCTAAACTACAGATCTCTACATATTGTTCTGATTAAACCGCATCAGTACATTTGTGCCTAGTTTCCTATGGCAGCTGTCCAAGCAACTCTGCCTCAAACGCCTTGTCTTAAAAAGGTGATGGCAGGTAAAGGTAAATCTCAGCTGGAGTTTCTTCCAACAGGATCCAGCTTAAGAACTGGGTCATTCAATCCTCCAAGTGGAAATTGACAATTGAGGTCTTCCCCTAATGTCTTCACATGTCATTATCAAGAGGACACATAAGCCAGGATAAGGTAACTTGCCTTTCCTTTCTTTACAAACCCTCACAAACGATTCAATCTGTTGTTTAAACAGAGCCGTGAAAATGTAATTGATATTTCTAGACTCATTTGGAGAGATTGGCGTCTTAAATATGTGTACTCATTATATCCAGTATTATTTTTTCCAGTATTTATAAAGGACAGATCAGTTAAATTGCTAAGAGTTTTTGATTAAATGTAAAACAGTTATTGTGTAACTTTCTGCCAGACAGCTTAAGAACCAGAGGAACTCAATGCAAAAGGGGGCTCGGGGCAAAGTGCTCCGGAAGGAGGTATTATGGCTTTAATGGCATGTGAACATAAAAGTGCCTTAAGATAAGCTGTTACTGGCATATGCAGCTTTTAATGCTTACTGCCCGTGATTAGCTGCAGCACTAAATCTATATCCTTACATATCCCTCACTTGATGACAAAGCAAAAGCTAAATGAATGTATTAAATGCTCTTAGACGATACTTCCTCGAGTAATTGACCAGTGTCTGTGCGGTGATTGCAAACAGAAGACTCACCTTAAGGCCTCTGTTGGCAAAGAGGCTGAGCTGCAAAGCTTGGGACGAGCTGTGGATCCTAATTCTAAAAAGACAAATAAGACTCAGTCAACACTCATGTTCAATTTATCTGTGCTGACAATGGGACTATTGAAACATGTTAACCTAGTCAAAAAAGCGGTACATTTAGAAATACGGTAGATACATATAAACAAAGCGTATCTTATATTCTTCATAGATATTAAATACATTAATGACATCATGGATCATATTACAGCTGATGATACAGATGGTTGTAAACATCAAAATGATCCAGAAAAAATCCAACAGGGGTCAATTTTTGCCACAAATATTACAATGGCATCTCGTTCAAGATGGTGGATGTCATCTAATACTATTATAAACAGTGCATTGTTTTGGCTACAGACAAACCTTTAAACGTATTACATAAATTGGCGCCATTATTTCTTTGTATTCTTGGCATCTAAAAACACTGACGCAGCTGGTTGCATTTGTCGAGTCTAATGCAACGTTTCTTTAATCTGCATAACTGGTTAGACACCTACTAGTGGTCTGACCAAACAATACTGTGTGTGTTTGTCAAACTAAAACAAACATCAGCCCGTTTACAAATTTTCACTTTATGAGCGTCGTCACATACGGAACATTCTTGAGTAAAATATTTTACAACCCTTCAAAAGTATAGTCCCTAAAAATCTAGTAATCAACACGTCAATCATAGTCAAGTTTTAATAGCAATATGCTCGTGAATATACATAAGGAATATTGATAATGCACAACCGCTACAGTATTCAGTGGCTATTTGTGCTTTAATAAGATGAATTAAACTTTTTAACCCCTTTTAACAAATCAGAGACCAGGTGCCAGATGTAAGCACTCATCCAAGAGAAGCTACAAAAATGCTACACAATGTAACAAAAGCAGGGCAACACGCCAAGCAGACGAAGCCCCTCAATGAGAGTGAATCTGGGGTTGGACTTCCCCATCTTGACCATGGAAAGAGGGGCCAAATGTGAATGTTGTGTTTACAAACCCTAACCCTAGATCCTGCTCAGAATGCCTTTAAAGATAAATGCTTTACATGTAAAGAAGTCAGACTTCTTCAAGATTAAACACCAACAACGTGCTGATCTGACAGGACATTTTCAGCCTCCCTCGTCTAAAAAGGTTCCTCAGAAAGTTCACATCCAGTTCCCAGCTGACAGTTGACCCGTTTGCTCTCACAGCAACAGCAGCCTGTTGTAAAGTTGTATCCCAGTATAGGAGAAGGATCATGTTTCTGCTCCAGACGCCTCCTGAACACCTCCGGACTATTTTGGCCCAAAAAGGCTGTGTGTCTATACAGCACGGGATGTTTGGCAGGACACAAGGTATGTAAGTATGGTGCTAGAAGTCGTAATGCTTGCTTGGGCATCAAGTTTAAGAGCTTCCAAGTGTTTTGTGTAGCTACCAGTGAAGTTCAAGGACTCAAAAGTGCCATGTCTGGATGTAAAGGATGACACAAGTCAGAATTAGACACGAGCGGGGTCAGAAATCTGGGTTGGATGTGCTCAAACATTATTTTAGCTCACACCACAATGATTCATTGCCTGTGGGAACCTTGTTTACACCTATCTGTCTGTTCTTCTGCCTGGAAAGCCCCTCGCCGGTGCAGCTTTCCTTAGAAACGCCTGCAGGTTGTCAACAAAACAAGCAGCACAAAATTCAAGGTTGACAGCGCCAGGGAGAAGCTTAGTGCTGCTGACGGTCCAAAAATGAGGGTGGTGAGGAGAGGGATTTTCTATATATATTCAGAGGTGCGAAATAGACTTCCTAAGTGAACCGGGCCTTCGCTTGCACACAATCTGTTTCGAAAGGTTGCTGGTAGAACATGAACACCCTTCCTCCATCTCGGCAAGCAAATGATGGAGAGCATTGACAAGGTGGGACATCGAAGGGGTGAAAACGGGAAAAAGCACAACATATAGCACATACTGTATAATGGAAATGCAGCATCAACTACATTTGACCTTTCATTGCTAAACCACACACTTCATTCATTCGTAGCAGCCTGATGCTAACATTCACACCAATCGTAGTAGATTCAAGCATGTATTTTATTCCAAATTCGTGAAATGCATTAGGCAGGGATGAGTAGCTCTTAGAAACGCCATGAATCCTCGTTTCCTCTGATCCAACCAAGCAAAAAGAAGCGAAACGAGGAGTCAACACTTCACAGCCTCTAAGCCCGAATCCCAGTGACAGCCACCAAACTGTCCTTTACCTCAGTAAGGAGCTAAATTGCATTAGCAAAGTCCCCCAAGCAGTCTACAGGTGTAATAAGGGTATTCGAGAGGGTCAAGCAGGTCAACCTATAGTCAGACCTTCCCCTATCAAAGGCCTTACCTTGGCCACATGGCTGCTCATGGTTCACATGGTAACTAGAGATCCAAGGGTTTCGAAACATGTTTAGGGAGAAAAAGAAAGATGCTCCGCTGCTAGACTTCCCCTCCGATCACAGCGGAGGTGACGGCGTTTGACAGCGGTGGAGGCGAAGGCTGCTACCGGCAAGCAGGGATGGAGATAGTGACACGACCACACACACACACACACACACCGAAGAGCACACACCGACAGACAGAGTAAACTTCCCGGATACACGGCAAACCTACAGCCTGCACAGACTGGCTGTCATGCAGATTGTGTGTGTCAGTGTGCATGTCAGTGTGTGTGTGCGTGTGTATGTGTGTCTGTGCGTGTGTGTGTGTGTGTGTGCAAGGGAGCTGAGAGAGAGAGACAGCGCAGCGGGTTGCTAAAGCAGCTCAGAGCCCTAATCAGATTACAGGCAGAAATTAGCCTTGATGATAAAAACTCTGGAACACGATTGGAGGAGGGTGCCAGCAGGCCACAGGTGGTGGTGTGGGGCCACCGGGAGTCAGACGGTATCCTTAACACTTGCATGGAAACTTCTAGATTCAAGGATTTGTATTGCCATTTGTACATAGCTACAGTGTAGATGTATCAATGAAAATATTGGGTCACAGGCTCCTAAACAGTGTGACAAGATAAAACAGATAAAATAGTTAAAGTAGTGCAAGGAGAGTCTGTTCTGAAATACAAAGCCAGGACTTGCATTAATATTAATGTCATTAAGTTGTTTGTTTTGAAATCCACCAGATCATTTATTTATATACATTTAGAGTATTACCGGGAAGATGACTCATTATGGTTTTACTGACAGTCTTGTCTTGATGCCAGTTTGGCCGCTGAGAAAGGCTTTATTAAGCGATCGCATGCAATGCATTAGAACAGTATTTGTTATCTCCTGCCATATGCTAATCTTTTCTGATTGCAAGACACCGAGCCAGAATTTCTAATAATAATGTTAACATCGTATTTAAATGCTACATCTAACCCATAGGGATCTTTTTCAGTTTCTACCCTGACTCCTCATGCATGTCATATTTACATATTCACACAGGCTTTACTTGATGTCACATGTTGATGTCACATGTCACAGACAAAATGTCCTTGTCTAAGTCAACCTGAGGTCATGTTGGAGTTAGATGAGGAGGCAGTGGAGAGGAAGGGGGGGGGGGGAGAGTCTTCCTTACATTGAATGTTGATATTTTAACCAATATTCCAACCAAACTCTGCATCAAAACTAAAATGATATCATAAATCAGTTCTCCAAATCCATGCACTTGCATCCTCTAAACTTTTAAGAAGAGTGGCTTATGCAAATATTCGGTTCATATTTGTATTTTGTGCCTTACTGTGACATCCTTCACAGTTCAGAAAGCTCTTTATTTTGTCTGCTCTGATTGGTTAGCTGGCCGGCTCTGTTGTGATTGGGCAACCACTTAGAGAAGTCCCGCCCCTTAGTCTATGATGTACAATATGTTGGATTGCTGGATTATAAAGTAAACAAAGAAGTCATGCGTGGGGGGGGGGGGGAGAGGAGGAGGGGGGGGGCGTTGTGTGGGAGAGGGGCCCCTTTAAAGCCAAACAAGTGTCAAGAATGAAAAGAACACATGCACTGGCATGCCATTAACTTCTATATACTTACATACAACTACAAACAATATGTGTGTCATGTGGTTTTAAGTCATACATTGTTCTTGACGTTGCGCTTACAAAGCACAAGGGGTAAGGGAATGAACATAACGCAGCATGTGATGAAGCGGTTAGCTGCATGTATTGTTGAGAAGACACAGATTAGATTCGCCACATTGGATAACAATGTGACAAGAGAACTGAGGCGAGGAAACAAAGGAAAGCGGCTACAGATGGAGTCAAGCAATGTCACAAATATACAATAAAGTTGACTTCCTATCAAGTCAGGATCGCAGCTGCCTTCACTGCTAATCCCAACAGAACCTGTGTGAGTGATGGAAATATTTTAGTTCTGCAGCAGCTACATAAACTATAATCTGATGCTCTGCAGAGGCTGCATACAGTAACACAACTAATCATCATTATCACCCGTTACTGGCACAGAAGAAACTGCGTGCATTGCCCACAGAGGTATGCAAAGCAAGTGAGAGGACTGAACTCTACTTAACGTGAGCTGATACAACTTGTTACGCTTGTTAACACTTTAGGACTCTTCAGTCAGCCTTGCACGATCACTTGCCTCCTGTGTGTGCTGCTTTTTCTCACCCTTTCACACACACACACACACACACACTCCCCCCACCTCCCCTCGTCTGCCTTGCTCCCTGTAGACGCCCCTAATAAGGCAACATGTGTTGTGAGTGGCTGCCTCAGGGAGAGGTCACCCTGTCGGTGTTTACCAGCCGATCGTCTCCACGCCGGCTCCTGCTCTGCCTTGTTTTCTTCACCACTCCTTCTCCCTTGCATTCCCCAAGATGTGTCATCCTTACCATCCATCTCACAATCCTTCCCAGCTACACATGCTGCCAGATGTATAATCCACATTCTCTATACTTCTAATTAGCTGTCTTCACCTGTTTCTCTGCATCACATTGTATATCTGTCTTTACCCGCTCAATCCTTGCATGTAGCAACAAATACGAAGACATTCTCCGTCATTCAAAATGTTGCCATTTCACAACAGGCCAC